AAAATCTATGCAGAGGACATGTTTGCTGACAGCCAGGGAGTGTCAGCGGGAAAGGCTCCTTCCCGCTCTCATTCCGGAAAAACATCTCCACAGAGAAATTACTGAAAGTGAAATGCAGCTAGATTGGTTACTTGCTCTGGCTAAAATCAACACTTTCTAGAAACCTCTTAGTGTGTACACCCTTTCCCTTATTCTGGTGGTAATTTTCCTAAGAGTCTGCTGCTAGGAGCAAGACTGTATCCCCTAGCTTGCAGCTTAAATGAGGTATCTAACTCTTGAAAAATCAGTGAAATCAGAGCAGACACCTTTACTGCAGCCCTCACCCATCATCCTCTTGGTACAGCTCAAATATATGACATGAGGCGTATGGTGCTTGAAACCCGTTGTAGACATCTAGAGCCATCTGCAGTGCCACAAGGGTGGTGTCATGCTGAGAAAGAGAGAAAAAAACAAATCACCTCTGTGAATGGGGCAGGGCAGCTCAAGCCATAGCAGCAAGGGACAGGACTGTTGCAAAGGGAAGTCACCTTTGTGACTTGCAGCAGGAGGGAGAGGAGCAGTGCTATCAGAAAGGGCATCTGTGATAGTGCCAAGGAATGGAAGGGAGTGAAGCACAGCTGTACAGGCCATGCATCATTCTTTAAGAACTGGTCTTTGGGGAGCAATCTGGGAGAGATGCTTGAGCTTCCAGTCAGCAGGCTGCTGGAAAGCAGGGACAACTCTCCATAGGGCTGCTGAAACATCTAATCTGAGGAGCATCAAGCTGTGTACCACATACAGCAATAGCTTCCCCAGGTCTGCCAGTCGCACCTGCCAGTCTGAGCTAACAAGGACAAAATGCAAGTTCGAGTTTTCCTTGGGGGCCCCAGAAGAATGATGCCAGATACATACAGCCCACCCAGCCAGAGGCAAAGATGCATCCCTTGATCACTGCAGAAAAGCTAGAAAAGGTTAAAACCGTTAGCGAGGTTCAAACCACCCTGTGAGAAAGAGGAGGAGGATACAGACTGAAGCTGGCACCCACAGTCTGCCTTACCGCAGAATAGGCAAGCAGTTTCAGGTGCTGGTGGGCAGAGTTGTTGGCTGCTTTGGTTAGGTTCTTCCTAATGTGACCCACCAAGACCCCTAAGGAAATGGAACAAGTGATGAGACTGAAAATCTGGACAGAGCAGCATGAAGCTCCTTCATTGGCCCACTTACCTCCTTGTAAACGAGCTTTCTCTATCCGATGGTGAATCCCAAACAGAAATTCAAAACTGAAGTCTTTTAACTGCTTCAATCGAGCCATGACATCTTCAGTCACCCATAAGGGCAGCTTCATCTTGTGTGCTTGCTAGAAAGAGACAGAGAACACTCCTCTGCAGGTAGTACATACCCACAGATCAATCACTGGCATGTGAGTCAGGGCATCTGAGCCTTGCCCAAACTGCCACTGATTTCCTATGTCATTTTGAATATGTCACTTTTCTACTTATGCTTCCGTTCTCATCCTGCCACACTGCATACAAAGAATACATGTGGTTAATGTCCTTACCTTCTAAAGTTGTTTCAGAATCTAAGGATGAGAAGCATAAAGATCAAAACCTGGGAGCTGCCATTTCTATGAAAGTACAACTGGAATGCAGGATTATTTTGCAAGAGCAGTAGAGATAGACAAGCCAGGCTGTTGCAGGCCGATTCTGCCCCACAGCTGGAAGCTAGTCAGAAATAAAAGGAAAAGTGGGAGAGCACAGCCTCAGTTTCTGGTTCACCAGCCTTACGCTTCCTTGGGAACCAACTGCGAGCCGACACTGACAGTCCAGTAGTCAAACCCACTATATATGGAGCAGGGAACCAAGGAAGGAATTTGCTTTGCAGTCAACCCATTACAAGAAAGGATTATGAACTGGCAAACAAATTGCAGTTGTGGTTCCTTGGCACTGCTCAGATGGAGCAATTTTCTGTGCCACGTTCCATTAAACTGTCAGAAGATGAGGCTAAGTGTCCTTAAGGGTCCATTCTGTCTGAGAGCATCAGCACAAATTCCCATCAAAAACCTAGGTGCTTGGTTAGTTTGACAAAAATTTACAAAGAGAAGAGCTGGAAAACTCCTTTTTCATTTTTTTTTCTCTCAGTTGGTAGAATGAATCTATTAGTTCAGGTGAAGGAAACAATCCTTCATTTAGGGTACTGTAAGGGTGAGATAAAAAGGAGGAGGCACACAGTAACCAAAGAGACTTATTATTTCTCAAGTATAGTTTTGAGAGTAAAACTTCCCTCCTGACAACTTTCTGATTTTGTTTTCAGACTGAGAACTGTTCTCCAGATTCTTAAGGCTACAGTTATTGCAAACTCTTTCAGTGAGCCTCGAAAGGGAAAAAGATTTTACACTGGTATTTCTGACCAAAGGAGGTTTGGTCACTGACAAAAGTTGCTTCACTGTGATTGCTGTAAGACAGGAGATTGGATTTGTGATACAAAGGGCAAATTTACATAATGCAGTGCAGCTCTGGACCCAGATTTTCTGAGCTTGCAGCAACTTAAGCTGCTGCTTTACATGGCAAGGTGCAAATCTGTGCAGATTTACCCCTCGCTACACCCACCCCTGCCAAGTTAGTTTGTAGCTGCATTAACGTATCACTCCCAGGAAGGTAACTAGCCAGGCACCTCCACAGAACTAATTAGCAGGACAGAGTGTCACATGAGCTGCTTTACTGCTTCTTCCAGAATTAGTTTGGTACTAATGTGCTCTATAAGATGTTTCATAGTGTTGTATAGTTATATACAAATAAATGTCTGCAACAACTGTAAATCTCCTGGATACGTAACCTTCAGCATTATCATAGCATTACCACAGAACAGCTGATTTTACTTTTTTAAGCCTTCATGAGATGTGCTTTCAGCAGAATTCCACATGAATTTCACCAAGGTTGTTTTCCCTCCCCTTCAAGACAGTAAAATGGTAACATCTGTCTCTAGAGTCTTTCTCTATCAAAGGCCCTTAACAGATTGCACATGTTGCCGATCCAAGCTGTTTTATGGGCTCTTGCAAATTAATTTTCCACCAAATCTGGTGACCCCAAGAGACCAGATTCCTGTGGCTTTAAGATGATGACCAAACTTACTTCACAAAACAGAGTGTCATACACACTCCAAACAGACTCGAGAGAGACATCCCGGATCCCAGTCTCATTTGCCACCATCTGCAGGAATTGCTGTAGGAATGAGTAGAGAAAGCAGCTTTCAGTTTTCCAATCTCATACTGTATTACATGCACACAATGGAGGTGGTCTTACCCTTTCTCAGAACTCTAATTACTTAGAGGTGGTCACTTTAGCTACTGTCCTCCAACCTTATCTCATGCAAACAATCACTTACCAAATTATCTCTGGTTTTATTTGTGTATTCTGCTGAGTCCCGGGTTTCATTCTGTAGCTGTTCATAGCGTGGGCAGGGAGTCAGTGGGAACTTCAGCAGCTGGGCAGAGACAACAAGAGCAGCTATGTCACTGGGCACCCGGAAGTGCAGAATCCGAAGACAGCACCCGTCACTGTAATGAAACCCTAACTAGTTGGAGGCACCTGTAAACAGCTTCAGATATCTCCTTCTATGGTACTTCCGACTGAGCGTGGTCTGCTGAGGTGCTGCAGCTAAAGCACTGAGTGAACACACATCCCGAATTACTTTCCCGATCAGAAAACAGAAGAATCTTGGCAAGGCAGGTCCAAAGGGAAATGGAAGACAGTCTGAACCAAGACTGAAGGAAGGACTTTTGGAGATGTCAGTAAAGCATCCTGCTCAGGTTTCCACCCCACCATCCTCAAAAGCAACTTACCCTCTCCCCGGCCTCAGGCACCGTGTGCACAGGGATAGGCTGCCAGGAGATGTTTGGGTTGAACTGCTCTTGGGCGTCCGGGGGATACAGGCCTGCCAGGTTGGCCTCCGCGCTCATCAGCGTCCGGTCGAAATCGGTGCTGCGGATGAAGATCTGCGGGCGCAGGGACGGAGCAATGTTAGCAAGAGCGCCCGGCGCCCGCGGGGCAACGGCGCTGTGACGGAACTCTGCAGGACTGGGGCAAACGCCTGCATTCACTTCTCAGTTCTCCCATCTGAGAAATGAACACAACAATCATCTGGCTAACAGAGGAGCGAGCGCTGAGATTTTATTGCATCACTGTGAGCTCTTGGGATTAATAAACCAAGACGGTTTATCGTTCCAGAGCTCAGAAAGAGACATTTGAACCAGAAAGAAAAGAGAATAAATGGAAATATTCAGAAGGGTCAAAACGAGCTCGTAGTATCTGTGTACTGAAAACATTTAGGGGAGAAGGGAGAGCCAGTAATAAAATAAAAGGAACACATATGAAATAAAAAAAGAATGCCTTCAAAGCCAACATGTTGGATATGACAGGCCAAGAACGAAAAAAAAAAAAAAAAAAAAAAGAAGAATCAAATACAATGTCAAGATTTTTTGGGGTTTTTTTTTGTAATGTGAACTGAGGAGATGGAAGCATACAGAAGAGCACAAATGCTCACCCTGTATAGTAACTGCCATGCAAACTCTTATCTGAAAACTTACTAGCCAAGGGTGGGGGTAAAGTTAGACATGGTCTTTTCTCTGACAGTTTCTACACAATTTTGCCTCCTAATTGTGGCTTGAAAGCAACAGAGCTGGTACTCATTACACAGGACTGTTTTCATCCTAGGTAAGCTCTACAGAAATAGAAAGGAAATATTTTAAAAGATAAGGATTTAGTTCTAGAAGTGTCACAACAAAGTATTAAGCCTTGCTTCTATGTGCTTTCTTCAGCACCTTTTGCCAGGGCTCCAGCTTGTCACCGAGTCAGGTGACAGCCAGTCACAGGGTGTCACCCGGAGGCCACACTTCTTATAAGAGGGATCTGGGCTCGGCTGGCAGAGTGGTTTCTGTTTGCATATGCTTTGTGGTTTTTTCCCTTCTCAAGCGAGGGAAGAAAAATAGTTTCAAGTGTCAAAGCTTTGCAAGAAGGAAGCATGTTTGGAAAGGAACTCCTTGGGAAGGTTAAGGGAGCTGGGCTTGAGCTGGCGCTGGCAGCTTGTATGGTGGAACAAATGTCAGAGGGGGATGTAATCTGAACCGTGTCAAGCTCTGCATTTAGCGGGAAGCCCAAAAAGGGGGAGAAGCCAAGACAGAAGACCCGCACTTCCCCCACTGGGCCAGGCGCAGGGTGCGTGCGCAGACGAAGCGGAGCCTGGGGCAGGCCCACGGGCCGCGCGCCGCGGCACTCGCTCGTGGTCCGCTTCACTCACAGCTGTCTGGTCAACCACCGCGGGAACACGGAGAGCTTTTCTAGTTCCTTAACTACTTTTTTTGAGCCTTCAGATGTCCCCGTGGGCTTAGTACACAGTTGTCCCAAGGGCTCTGTCGGGGTTTTTTGTAAAGGAAAACTACTCGGGACTCTTGGTTTCTCAAGAAACAGCACAAAGTGCGGCAACATCACAGAGAGGAGAGGTACCAGCCCTGGGGGGGAGCTCGGTAGTTTGCAGGTGGAAACAAATGAGAGGAAACAACTTGTGGGCAATAGTTAGTACTTATGCGCACGGCCTCCCGGGAGCTTGCGCTGCAGCGTACGGGAGAGGGCCAGACGTGTGTGCGTTGTGTAGGTACGCGACGGGCAGGCCGCGCACCGGCCTCGCGGCCAGGAGCTGCAGTTCGCGCAAAGCAGGGCTGGGTGAGCGGCCCGGTGCCCCTGCCCGCGCGCGGCGCCGCGCCGGGACAGCCCCGCCCCGGCACTCACCTCCTGCCGCCGGTACGTGGCGTTGAGGAAGCCGCGGTAGGGCCGCCGCAGGGCCTGGGCCAG